CTTCACTAACATCTCAAGTATGGAAAACATCTACATTATCAGCATTTTAGTTTGTGTAATGATTCAAAATTCAGGCGATAGAGTTACATGGCTAGGAGTTGGCTTTTATGCTCTTCGAATATCCATTTTCATTCGAGGATTACTGCAACTTGTTGGTCTCATGGGTACCAAAATCGACATAAACGTAAACCAGTAACCAAGAGCTATAACAAAAATCGCTTTTCAAAAAGATAAACTCTATTCAGTCAAAATGATGAGGGTAAATAAACATGCTACTGCGTGATAGTGATTTCGAAGCAACTTTCTCATATATATTTTAAAAAGTGGGATAATGAATCAGATTTTGCTTTTTGCAATCCCAAAAAGGTATGAAAATTATTTAAATATTTGAGGTTTCCATGTTTATAAAGTGTTTTTTAAGAAAAAGAAACATTTTCCCGAGAAAAAAGCATAGTTTGTATGGTTGCCGGATTGTTGCAATATTCAATAGACCATATATATATATTTAACAAACCATATATATATTCAATAAATTAAACATATATTGAATAAACCACATTATATATTCAATAAATGGAATATGTATTCAATAAATTAAATATATATTCAATAAATGGAATATATATTCAATAAATTAAATATATATTCAATAAATGGAATATATATTCAATAAATGAAATATATATTCAATAAATGAAATATATATTCAATAAATGAAATATATATTCAATAAATTAAATATATATTCAATAAATGGAATATATATTCAATAAACAGATTACATGTATTCAATTCAACACGTCAAATATATATTCAATTCAGCAAACCAAATATATATTCAATAAATTCTGCACTTCAGCGTGCCAGCGGATTAAACGATTGGTGCATAGGCATACGTTATGTAACAAATATTAAAAACAAGAAACTAAAACAAAATGGCAGGCGATCACGAAACTTCAACGTGGCAGGATGATTTTACTCAATGGAATCTTTTTTAACTGTCCTTGAAGTGCAGTTAGATGATCAAAATTTGACGTATCATGAAGCAGCTTTGTTGATGAACAGGTTAGAAACAGCTGTTAGCATTTTACGGTCCTTAATAGATCTCTGTAGCAGTGATAGCTCAGCCTCAAGTGATTTAACCGCCAATACGCTAGACCACACAGAGCTACGTTACGAACTTCAGATTCTTATGGTATTGACATATACCTAGATTGTATTTCTTTAATACAAGGTCAAAATAATATAGAATAGAATCAATAAACACAACAAGAAAACGTTTAATGTTAGGTACTTTAAAAACTTACATTAATCAACACTTATTACAATTTTGCAAAATTTCAATGAAACTTTTCAAGGAAACTAAATATTTCCCTCTTAAAGTGACGTGTAATTGTCAATAAATCAATAAAACGAAAACTAAACTGACTGAAACTAAACTAAAAATCCAGGGTCAGAATTTATGTGCAGAATACGCATTAACATTTTTATTAACATTTGTCATGTTCCTTTGAAAAATGATGTTCAAGTTCACACTACACAATATTACTGTAATTCCAACCATGAAAAATTCTTACCTCTGTTTACCTTTAAATATACAATATCAAATAAACATTTTATACCAAGTCTATTACTTAAGCAATGTTTCTTTTGTTCTTGGTATACAATACATCACGGTGCTGTATATTTTCTGCCTTTGCTCTTCATCATGATAGCTCTAATGGCACATTCAAAATGAGAATACTGAGAAAATCTAGATGGAAGTTTCAACTCTAATGTACATGTTGAGGCAAAAATGCTATCAGCATCAACCACAGAAATGCTGATTGATCCAGGGATTAAACATGATGTGGATGATCTCGAACCAGTGGTGAAACACAAAAAATTCAACAAATCTGCTTTTGTTGCATTTTCCAGAAATCGATACAGCATTCTGACCACATTGCCGATCTGTGCATCTGTATGAACAGGGGGTTTCAACAAAGACTTGAGATAATCTGATGATACTTCATCACCAGTGTGGACAAAGAAATGCTCAAACTTAGCAGGTGCTTTCCCTAGTTCTTTAAGAAACCCAAGGATTGATAAACCTTTCCGAAGCTGATCAACAATAGCCTTGTGCTTAAGTATTGTGTTGTGGATTACAAGACATTGCATAATTTCATCTTTGTTCTGTACCTGTGTTTATAATAAAAAAATAAAATTACACAAACGCATTGTATTTGCATGAAGCAACTCACAGCTCCCTCCCAGCTAACACAATTACGTTTTAAAAACGTCGTGGAAACGTTGGACTTACGTTATATGAACGTTCTGGGACAACGTTGTGACAACGAAAATTTGTAGACAGCAGAAAACGTTATCGCAACGTTGTAGCTAACGTAGCGAGAACGTAACTTGAACGTTGTCAAAACGTTTCTAACACGTTATAAGGACGTCCAATTTTAACTTTGTGAAAATGTGGTAAAAACGTTGTGGGAACGTTATGACTTAACGAAAGCATCAAGGTACGTTTACACACATGATTTGTCGGCCGATTCAGCTTTAACTATATGATATTTGAAAAAAATGGCAGCATTCGTTAAAACCTGAAATTGGCCAGATTATAATCCCTGTGTGTACACGTAGCTTAACACAGCTTAATTGCACCAGAACCATTGCGTACTTTAATATTCTTTCGCGAATTTTCTGACTACGTCATGGAAATTAAAACGGGAAATGATTGTTGTGTAATAAACGCGGTTGTTAAGAATATTAAAATAAAGTAAACATAAATTTTTCTAAATATTTATTGACACAAAATGTTAAATGACTTCACATTAACTATTTACATAAACTTTAAGAACTATTAATAAATACATTAGTATATAAGGAAAGAATATGCACAACATTAAAAATTACTTGATCTACCAAATGATCTATCAAATATCATCCTTTTATACAATCCCGGCAACGTTCTATAACATTCGAAAAAAAATTATATTCGATTAATTATGAAATGGGTTTAGCCAATACTGCATTCTGATTGGTTAGCTATACTGGCTATATATCAACATCTAGCTGTAACATTGTGATTTTATGAACTGAAAACTTGATTAGTGATACAGTCCATTAGAAAAAAACTGGAATTGGCTGGGGAAAATGGTATAAAAACTGTTTAAGACCTTCAGAAAATATATAATTTATGTACAGCTCATTCAAAAATAGGTTTTCCTTTGAAAACCTTCAACTCAAAATCTTAAAACTTAAGCAGTATGGCGAAAGCGTCGTTTTTGGGTGTGGTCAGTTTCGGACGTTTCGCCCCGGATTGGGGTTCGGGCAACGTTACCATGCTGACCGTCATGGTCAACTTGCCCAAAACATTTGAGATTATCTGTCCTAAATGAAATGCATACAAACTCATATACAGGTCCTAGACTACTTTAACAAATGCTTTTGCAGGTGCATCACAGACAACACACCTGAGAGAAACTTTAAGAACCTTTGAACCGCAACTTAAGCCTTGCTTTAACACCATATTCAGATCTCTCACAGTGTCATGAAGAAAATCTAAATTCTTAGGTTTTGACTTCCCATATGTTAAAGCAATTGGGAATATTCTAACTGGGGTAAGGTTCATAATACCACAGAGAACTGGCCATAAACTACTTTGTGAACTTTTGAACAAAGGAATGCCATCAATGTTCAAACTTATCTCTAAAGTATCAACAGAGTCTTTAACACTGTCTGGATAAGACTGGAAATTCTCCAAGAGTGCCTTTTCCAATGGGAAGTAAACATACTCCATCTCAGACTTATGGCCAATAGAAACAAGCCTTGGTGTAGCCAATAAAGCCCTGGCAGTGCTTGGCAATTCAGAATGGCCAGACTGTTTAAGTAATTTAAGGAGCCCATCAACTGCATTGTGTTTTACTTGAAAGTTATTCACCCAAGTTACTAACTCATCTTTCAAACTGTAATTTTCTAATTGATCAGAATCGTCAGACAAACAAGAATTATCACTGATGCTGTCAGTGCCTGAAACACTGTGGTGAGCAGGTGCGTTTGTGCAAATTTCATCTATGTCAATTGTTTCTTCAATTAATATCACTGTTTCAATAATCAATTTTACAGAAAAACCTTCTTATGAAGTGTAGACCCTAAGCAACCTAAAAATGTCAAATATTCACTTTGATCTATCATTGAAACTTTTGCAAGGGGAGGTGCATGACTTTTTAGGGGAAGTGCAAAAATTCCCAGGGAAGGCGCAAAACAATATCAGGGGAGGTGCGCCCCGCAAAATCCGGCCTTGGTTTGTCTCACATTATGACATCACCCTGTGTATCTATAACTGAACAGACAATGACAAAATCTTAATCTATTTGTTAATTAAACATATATAATTATATAGAGAAATTCAATCTAACCCAACTTACACTAAACTCTTTAATAAGCATTACAAGTTGCAAACCTACAATTTACCATTTACAATCGAGGCCATATTTCAACTTAATAGGTGGAGAATTTGAAATAAAGTAGAATAAATTACATTTGCATATTTAAGCAGTAGTGCACCTTCCTTTGTTACTTTACTCTTCCTGACACAAAACTTTTTTTACTCTGATCGACACAAAAGACTCATTGCTTTGGGCAATTTGTTATTTGATGCTTGTGATGTTACTCTGAGTGTGTATCCACATCGGGCAAACTTGAAAAATATGCCTGGCCACAGTGGGAATCGAACCACTACAACATTTGGAATACTACCCAATGCTCTGCCAATTGAGCTATGTGATATTTCGGAACAGAATCTAGTTCCTTTGATATCAATGTAGTCTAGTAATCATAATTTTTTCTGTGGTGGTGTAATGTACTCAGGTGAATATGATGCTTGAAAACACATGAAATTGCTTGATGCTTTGTAAACACATGAAATTAAACCTTAATTTTACTCGGCCCCATGCAATCACATATACAAATTTGAATAAAAATCCCAGTATGTATACAAATAAAGTATTCAAATACTGCGGATTCAGGTTGAGTGTTTAATGACGTCACGATTACGTGAACATTGAAACAGAAAAACACCTGTAGGTGTCGACAAGTGACAAATTACTTGTTGCTATGAGAGAATGTCTGTAAACAAACAGTTTTTTAAATGTGGCGTGCAAACGATTATGGTCGATTAGTTATGCCCGAAAACCCTTTATCCGAAGACTAAGGTTGTTAACAAAAGGAAATATTATTAGCAATGGATGTGATCCCAAAACAGGAGTTTTTCCTGGAAAATTCATAGAAGTAGACGTCCCATTGGGATATCGTCAGCCATTGTATCAAAAATTTGGAAATGTTTATACTGCAGAGATAAAATAGTTTCTCCTAAGCCAAATGCGGATAACAATGGTCTTCTTGCCTGTGTTTAATAATCTCATTATTTGAAATTTAAAATACTTCGATGATAAGTCAATTTCTACACACGAGAAAAGATCATCATATGTTAAAGATAGCAAGTCTTCGTTCCCAATAAATATATGGGTTATTCAATTGTTACAATAATAATTGTATACAACCTGAATTTCAGGAGATTATCCATATTTTTGCATTACAGTGTAAATTCTAAACATATATATTCAATTCAAAATGTCACCGCTGGTCCGCTCCCTCATAGCAACAAGTAATTTGCCACTTGACAATGCCCATGTTTTTCTGTTGCAATGCTCACATGATCGTGATATCATTAAACACTCAACCTGAATCCGCAATAAACTGACCATAATGTATACAGGTCATAATAAATTAGTATTTTTAAATTTTAAAAAAATATCAATATTTTTTGGTTGTTATAACGATGTTGGCTCAATATTTATAACAATATGCAATAAATGAAAGCAGGCTGCCATGTGCAGTCAAACCTTAAAATAGCCAAATAGACTTGAATGATACAGTAAGAGACAAAGAGAATATACTTTGAGCTTTGACAAGCAGGAAAGCTCAGATTCTGCACCAAATGCAAAGTTAGTAGTCATATTAACTGCCGGAAAATGTAGCCACAAAATAAGTTTCAAGATATAACAATAGTAATCCCAGCAATTATAGTGCGTCTATAGTATAGGTGAAATTTTATAGGTACATGCGGCTATGAAAACGCCAATTTGTTAACGCTAGGCTTTATGCGGTAAATAGGGCAAAAACGACTGAAACTTCCAAGGTTAGCGACACCATCTTATCAAGTGGGGCAAACATAATACTGAAAACAATATATTCAAGATGGCGTCCCTATTTACAACCAACGGTGTGTATAAATTCTAGCTGGTCGAGATCTGATAACAAAGAATAGCAAACCAAGAAGTTCAATGCCTTCAAGGCAACTATATGTAAAAGTACACTACACAGTCCGCAAATTTCGAATGATTCGTGTAAATAAATGCAAAATATATTTGTGATTGTCTGGCGAGTGCGAGTCACATGTATTAATTAAAAATAATTCACGACAAATATCTTAATCTGAAAAAATATTAAAATGTTATATCAATATATATATATATATATGGCTACACTACTGATACAAAATATCATAAGTATCACTTACGTTTAAGTAGAAGAAATATAGGAGAGTCAAGGAAAGTCCAAGTATTAAAATCTTCAATCTAGTTTTATATCTTGCCCACGAGATGCCGACGCGCAGCTTAAATTATGCGCATATATGCAATGAAGGATCAAATTATATATTCATATCAAATTTCGCAGACGTCCGACTTTTTTTAGCCAATTAAAATCGAGTATTTTTGATCCGCGAAAACCGCGAAACTCATGTGTCTATAATATTAGTGACTTCGCACATAGTCCACATGTCATTTGGATTTTGCCAAAATTTTGCCTTTTTGGTGACTATATAGGGATTTAGTCAATGACAATTAATGCAACTGAAACAAATAACTGATGTAACATTCCATGAGTTTTAACTTTAAAACCATATAAAATTTAAAGTTTATCACCACCCGGCGATGGCTGATAAACCGTTCAATTACCAATTCAAACTTGAATTTAATAACATCAACAAAACATTCTCCATATTATTGTCATTGAATTCAATATGAACGTTAATTTTAATAGTACGTCAAACCTTTACAGAACGTCACGACGACGTTTTCTTGTAATTAAAATTTCACGTTATTACGAAACAATATATCACAACGTCATTACAACGTTGCTGATCAAGCGTTCTTGTCACGTTGCATTCATGTGTAAGTAAAACGTTTTTACAACGTTAGTATTCAAACTTTCTAGCCACGTTGTATTCATACGTAATTAAAACGTTTTCACAACGTTAGTATTCAAACGACAACGAAGACAAGGTTGTCAAAAGGTTGTCACAATGTTAGGTCCGACCTAACCAAATTACAACCTTCCAAAAACGTTTTTACAACGTTATGTGTTAGCTGGGCTTCAAGCACTTAAGTTCAATGAGATGCAAATGCATGCGGCAAGTTGCCAGTTACTTCCTGCAAGGGTATATGTAGCCACGATCCTGGTTAAAACATTAATGACACTCATCTCCCCTCCTCCCCTCAAACAATGTCATACATATTTACAACAGCTTTAACTGTATGCTGAGAATATAATCAACATTGAATGGTTCTTATTGGGGGGGTTCTAAATGTACAATATTACAAATTAAGTTAGTCAAATAATTGGCAGCTTTGCAGATGTTTTGTCCTGGATTGTAGGTCAATGACAATTTACTTACTGTTAACATTCTACTTTCTCCACATTCCTGCATAAAACGCATGAAATTGTCCTCTCGAGCAATTTCTCTTATATCATCAGCAGTGCCATCTTTAATCTAGAATTAGTAAGTGTTCACATGTACATGTTGGTATGATGGTAGCTACCATCTGTACTTACAAATCTTCCTCTTTCCTTAGAGTACAGTACAGTACAGTACAGTACTAGCAATTATTCAACACGGGATGGTTTACTCTGGGCTATTATGCCTGACAATGGGAACTTCGTTTCAATTAATGTTTCTAAAATTGCTTATAGACACCCTATTACTTGTCAAGGTGTTAAGTCAAACTGTATATAATCTAATGTATTCTAAATCTTACCCTTTCAATAAAACAAGAAAGCTCAGCATCACCAATGTCAAGACAAGAGGCTCTTGCAATAGCTTCAGACAAGTCACCTGTTGCTACATACCAATAAATCCCAGGAGCAAGGAATGGAAAACCAGGTCCACCTTGTATCAAACTATGAGCTATCATTTTTCCGAGAACTTCGAATACTCCTGTCAAAACATGTTCGCTGCTATAAATAGGAGTAAGTCTTTGATTGGAACCTCTAAATAAACGTAGGTAACACTCTTCACTTAAAATCTCACCAAAAACATCAGTAAATGCTTGACGTAGAACACCCCCGGTATCCACTGCAGGTTCTCCTCTCATTTGTACTTTCACAGGTACAACTGGATCAAATTCAGGGCTCTTGTAGAAATGAAAGAAGTCCATCACAAAATCTTCTTTGTCGACTTTCAGCTTTACTGAGTCCATATATGGCTTCATAGACTTCTTTAGATTATTTAGTACCTCTGATGCAGTTTTCTCTTGTGTTTGTGCTACATTACCCAAAATGTGAAAGAACATTATGAAACTAACTATGACGGAGAAATAACCAGAAAACTGTCAGGCTTAATGTAAATGACCTACGGTACTGTATTAATATTGTTCTATACAGTACAGAAGACCAAATCAATATTATCATCTGACCAATCTGCACTAAATTACATTATTTCAAGAGTAATAGGCTACATGGAAATGTTCTGATTATTTTTCATACAATCATGGCCATGAGCGTTTACGCTCCCTTCCAACGAAGAGCAGTGCTACCTAAGCAACACAAAATAACCCAACGTAAATATGCCCAGTTGTTCTTTTGATCAAACTATTGACAGCATCAAATTCGAGGCAGCATTTCCTTGCGATAATATATAATTACTAATTTCATTAATGATTTCTCTCGCTATCACCCTTCATCCACCCTGCTCCCAAATTGTCTACGTGCCAATCTTCTCATGTGAAAAAGAGCTGAAATATAAATGGACGGCCCTAGGTCTAGGCTGAGGTATTGATCAGATACTTATGGTAGACATAACACAGGGCACACACTAAGTAAAGTGAAGTAAGAGTGAGTGTGTGATAATGATATAGTCAGTACATGGATGATGATTTACATGTAAATAGCCTGCATGTGAGCTATATAGCCAAGATTGTAAATTATGAGAGTTTATCCATAACTTGATATTTCAATAAAACCATATATACAACCAAAAACAGTGAGTTTGTTGAGAAATAAAATTCAGCAGAGGGAACATATAAATACACATACCTTTCCCCAAAATTTCATCAACTGTTTCTTGCATAGTAATATTATTCCTTCTAATTTCACGCAGATCTGCTACACTTCTTGTCGGAAACATCACTTGCAATGCGTCAATGTCCTTATCATCATCATCAATATTGATCTGTTGGCGAGTTGATGTAGATTGCTGCTCAGTTTCTATTCCTTCAGAGGCCATTGATTCATCAGGCGCATTAAAAGATGCTGGATTGCTCGCTACACTGGGAACACTTTGAGATGGTAATGATGATATTTCACAATTCAAGGGGTTTTCCAACCGAACATACAACTTTCCTTGACCTTTGATGGCTTTTATTTGGGGATAGTCCCATTTGTGCCCCTCTTTGCAGGCTGGAGTAGAAACAACTTTTCTTGAAACTTTGACAAAAGAGAAATCATTTGCTTTTAGTCCACTTATTCTGGATCTGAAAACATCAACGAGCTTAGATCTTATTGTATCTTCCTTGTCATTGGTCATCAGATCAACTGTTCCAGTAAACAATACATCATCTTTTCCAATACTGTAGTCTGGTATAACATCTGGTATGTTGCCATCATTACCTGCAAAATCATCATGATCAGCATAATCAATAACAGTTACTTCCAAAGTTTTAACCTCTGCTTTCTTTTCCTTTGATCCATACAGGTGTCCTAACCTTCGTCTCTTAGGTTGGCAACTCAGTGCTCTGTTTACCGTGCTTCCCATGGATCGGGCATTGGCTCGCAGAAGATCGCGTGCTCGGCCTATGATACCAGAAATTCCAATTGAATTTACACCAGCGGATGAACCAACTGCCTGCGCACTTGTAGATGGGGCCGGTGTTGAGTCTGCTAAAAAACATAAAATTAAAACTATCGTGTTGATGGCCTCATCCATATTCAAAATGCCATGCAAAAATTAAATTTTTATCTAAACCCACCCAGTGTTATAGTTACAATTGAAAAGGCATTCAATTTGAATATATATGTTGCACTTCTGATCATCTTCCTTTGAATGTAAGTTCAGATAAGTGCTTGCCATGTAGGAATGTTCGGTATGAGAATTTTCCGGTATCGGTATACCGGGAAAATTATACCGATATTATCGGTATTATAGACGGATTTTGTGGGGTGCAGGGGGTGCTACCCCCCCGATATTAGCTGTAACCCCCCCCAAACAAAATGTCCACCCCTCCAAAAAAATGTTCAACCCCCCCCCCAATATTCAGCATAATAAAAAATAATTAAATAGGCCAATCCAACGTGCAGAGTGTTGATGATACAAAATAAACGTAGGAGTACACTCAAATAGAAAAAGACAGTGCAATACTCTGAAACTAATCACTCCTCACTTGCATTCACAGGTTTATTGGAGCAATTGTAAAGTTTTGAAACTTCCTTATCTCCCCTGAATAGAATTTGCAGTGCCTTGTCATGCAAATAGCTTGCTTGCAAGGAACGTTTGGAATTTTTACGAACATTATTTTTAGTTTTTAATTCTTTTAGGAAATAGACTTGCCTAGATTTAATACGCCCCAAATATTATTTACATCGGAGTTGCATCATAAAATGTACTCGGATTCAAACGACACAATGTCAATGACTTTATAAACGTAAAAGCATATTGTGTATTCATATTGACCTAACAGACAATCGGACATGCCAACAGAAAATCGGACATGCCAAATCCATTGATATGACAACTTCAAAAAACTTTTTTTCAAAGCTAAAAATCATGATTTTTTAAAAATCATAATTTTTTTCAAAATTTTCCAGGGGATACTTTGTTTTCTGCTCTCTAAACTCCCCCTCACGGCTCTAGTGCTCCACCCCTGGAATATAGACCTTACTGGGGTTTGGTGACACTTTGTGTTGCTTCAGTCATCTGCTCACCCCGCTAAAATTTCTGGCACCACCCCAGTAAAAAATATGAAAATCCGCCTATGATCGGTATACCGTCTTTTTTCGCCTTTTAATTAGATAGGAAATGATCATTTCGAAGCTGTTGACATTGTTTTTGACAAGAAATGTCTACTTCTTTTACTTTGCATTTGAGTAAAACAAAAATTGATTATTTCACCATATGCATGGTGTATACATTTGATACGGTATATCAGAAATTTTGGTATATCGGTATGTCTGATAAACTCGTACCGATAAACCGATATCGGTTTCAATACCGATATTGGTATATCAAACATTCCTACTGCCATGACTTGGGGGTGGGTGGGGGGGGGGGGACCCCTAGGTTGATCTGTTCATTCTGTTGGCAAAATCGTATCATTTGTCAGATTATACTTTTACATTTGTTAATTTCTGTGTTGCTGCATCATGCTTGTTACACATCAATTATGTTTAATATTTTTTGATAATTCCTTAACACAAACCACTCTTGACCATGCAAAACCTTGCCCATTTTGCTGGTAAAAGTAAGGCATAAACCCCCTGAATTATGATACATTCATTATGCCCCTGATTGGTGTTAGACTGACCAGCCAAAAGTCTGCACTATGTACCATTGCAATGGTCTGACGCTTTGTGAATGGGTGATCTGTTAATTAAATAAAATCCTGATAGACTTGTCATGATATTATATTATTATGCATGGTTCTTTTTTATTATAAATATTCTTGGTGCAGATGTGCAGTAATACTAGCATTGCCTGACTGGAGGTAGGGAATTTTTTTACCCATGGAATAGATATCCTGCAGACCTGGCTATCTTGTAAAATACCGGCCATATAACCCTTAGTCTGAATTTTACCATATCCTAACCCTAACCCATCTGAGAAACAATGTGAACTAAAAACAATTAGTTGGAAAATAGTTTAAAGAAACAGCAAAAAACAACAGCATGGACAGGACTCAAACCCACAACTGTTGCATTGGGTCATTCCATTTAATATTAATATGTGCACCCCCCCCTTATTGAAAGGATCTGGATATCGATCGGGGAGGAGGGAGTCTTCATTTTCCTACAGGGTAGCTTGAGAGATTTAAAAAAATGGCATAAATTATGTGTTTTAGTGATATCCAAGAGGGGATAGTGATATCCAAAAAGGGTTAGTAAGATGGGGGTTCAAAATTTTTTATATCTTAAAGGGATTATGAAGGGACCCTCAATGGGGGAGGGGTGCCCATATTAAATACGTTGACGATTGGAGTAAGAAATCCAACATTAACTTCAACACGTCTAAGTGCAAAGCCCTGACAATATCCTGACGTAAACAACCGATTGTGTTAAATTACCATCTTGGGTCCGCAGAATTGATACGCGTAGATAGCGAAGTTGATCTAGGGATCACTGTTACCAGTAATCTCTCCTGGAATAGGCACATTACAAAACTTGTTACGAAGGCAAATTCAACGCTGGGTTTATTACGGAGAACTTGTCCCATGTTAACGAATTGCGATGCTCGAAGAACTTTATACCTGTCACTTGTGAAATCACAACTATCTTATGCCACAGAGATCTGGTCTCCGTATCAGTCGCTTAACAAAATTAGCTTGGAAAAACTACAAAGACGCGCCACAAGATGGATCCTCCAAGTGAAGAAAGGTGACATTACATACAAAGATCGATTGCTGGCCCTCAACCTACTACCGTTAACATACGATAGAGAGATAAAGGATTTAACGTTTTTCTTCAAGTTATTGCATGGATATTACGACTTAAATGTTTCTGATTATGTGTCATTTGTTAGCCATTGTCGTACTCGTAATTGCGAAAATCCTTCTCTTATGCTTAAAGTTCCGTCGTGTAAAACAAGTACTTTTCAGTCGTCCTTCTTTAATCGTATCGTCCCTCTTTGGAACTGTGTGTGTAAAGCAGCCTCGCCTGCAGACCTTCGTAGTTTAATTATGTTTAAATCGTTTTTGTCAAGAACGTACTTACATTTAATTACTACTATTTTTGATGTAGATATGACTTGTACCTGGTCATTACATCGAACTTGTTCATGCCATAGGAATTAGTTCGAACAAAACATATGCGTATTGCTTGTGTTTCACTCTCTATGTTCTTTCACATTCTTAATTGTGAAGGAATTTAAAGTAGTTGGATTCTCATTTAATACTAAATCCAAAAATTCTTAAGGTGTGTTTGCGCATAGCGATTGGTCGGGCCGATTTGACTCAGGCTGGATTCAGTTTTATTTAAATGATATTAAAATACGCTGTCAATGTCATCTGACGACATTGTCAACCACAGAGTGGATACATGCAGAGCTGTAACTGGCCGTCGTAAGTGCTGCGGAAACTTGTGTTTTCATGTACCCACTTTTTTTCAGGCGACCGGATAAAAAAAAAATTATAAACTGCTCGTTCTCGGCAAGTTCCGCGAGCGGTTAAAGCGAACCGCCATCCAATGGGATGCATGCATCTAGTAACTTGCCGAGCACACGCACAAAAAGGTGGGTACACTAGTTGTAGTTCTGTATATCTGTCTACTCTGTGTTGTCAACTGATATAACTTTTGTCATTTTAACATTCGGCAATACCTGAAATCGGCCAACCGATTGTTTGTGTGTAAACGTACTGTTGTGCGGTTTTAAGAATTGGTTGGTGCTCAAGTAATTGGCATATGTTTTTTCATAGCTATTATTAATGTAAATATTTAAGAAATCTTTACAGTTTGTAACGGGGAGTGCCTCGCATGGGACTTTGAGTCCCGTTCGCACTCTACCGCTTGGACATGGTCCAATAAATTGATTTAAATAAATAAATAAATAAATGGGATGACCCATTTATATGTAGAGCATAAAGCATTGCTATCACATGCCTTAACCACTAATCCACTATGCCACCAGCAAGCTTATCGACTACTACTGCAAAAAACCGTTTTTGTCTTACTGATACAAAATGTTGGCTGTGAAATCACCGACCTTTTAAAAAACAAACAAGAAATATAAACAATAAATGCCATATAAACAAGAAAATGCATTCGAAAAAATGATAACACTTGAGGGGTAATAGATTTTATTATAACTTTCACTTAATATTTAACAATAAATAACATTTAACACATCACCGCTTAACAGTCTTGACCCGTCTGTCAAACCTAAACCAAACTGTCAACTTGATGTTTTGTGTGACAACTTAAAAATGGATGTGACCCTGCCACTGACCCTTTTTAAATTTTCAGTGATATTCAATGTCATGATCAATGACCATCATATTGAAAAGTAGCGCGAGAAAGACACTTTTAATAACAATTAGAACAAAATGTTTGCTTACTCTCATTGTTGTCCATCCTGGCTGCCGAAATTCCTCTTCTAATTCCCCTTTCAACTGCATCTTCGATCTCACTTAGCGTGAGTTGTTGTCCTGCTCCCGCCATTTTGTTTCTGTGTTTCCCAAAGAAAGCCCTGGGAACGAGGTTGGCGCATTGAACTATAATTCAATGGGTTGGCTGGCGTTTAATCCGCTGGCACGCTAAGTGCAGAATTTATTGAATATATATTTGGTTTGCTGAATTGAATATATATTTGACGTGTTGAATTGAATACATGTAATCTGTTTATTGAATATATATTTAATTTATTGAATATATATTCCATTTATTGAATATATATTTAATTTATTGAATATATATTTAATTTATTGAATATATATTCCATTTATTGAATATATATTTAATTTATTGAATATATATTTCATTTATTGAATATATATTCCATTTATTGAATATATATTTAATTTATTGAATACATATTCCATTTATTGAACATATAATGTGGTTTATTGAATATATGTTTAATTTATTGAATATATATATGGTTTGTTAAATATATATATCTGGTCTATTGAATATTGCAACAATCCGGCAACCATAAGTTTGTGCAGAAAACTGTTTTTTGAGATAGAAGATCCTGGGAGAGGGGGTGTAGAAGCGTGGGCGGACAGCAAAAAACCTTGACTTTTGCTCCAAAAAATTAATACCAAATTTTGTTTTGCCTTTGTTTAATGTGTAATTTAAACAAGTTTTTTTACATTTAAAAATTCCGCTTAGTAATCAAAGCTTGGATTATGTTTGCAGTATTTGGCTATTTGTTTACTTTTGGAGGTCAAAGTTTGAGGTCCAATTATTTTTAAAGTTTGCAAACTACCCAGCTAATACTTGGCTGTTGTTTGCAGCCTTATATGCTGATTAAGATTTAGTTTGGTCCACAATATTAGATCCTTTCAATGAAGAGAAATTAAAAATAGTATATTTGATTATTTTTGCAGCACAGTCAGTACATAGGTAGGGTGGAATACCAGACCAAATTGCAAAAAAATTTGCCTATTGCTCCAAATTCAAAATCATATTTTTTTGCGCCCAAGGCACATAGGAAACAGAATATAACAATAAATTTTGTTGAAAAATTCCGCTTATGGGTCTTATTTCGCTTTGAAATGCGTGCATTTACTGCTCTTGTATGACGCAAGAGTTCGAAAACATTCGAAGTACTGTGAAAATGTAATGAAATCGACAACTTGACTTGCCCTTGAGATCTTGCTACTGCCTCGGCACTGAAATGTTTTTTGACAACGATAATTTACCAGTGTTTCTTGGATATTTTCCTTGTTTAACTCGTAAAACCGAACATACAAGTGCATCTGAAGACTAAGCGAGAGTTTGCTATAGAAATATGTTGTTTACGGGGAGTTATTTTGCATTCGCAAGGCGTCAACAAAAGCCGGCATTTTCGCCACAGTTTGATTATCATATCAATAGATAAAAGCTTTAAAAATTCAATTGAAATACATTTTAAACCGCCCGTATTTGAATAGAATATATGCTAGTCATATTAACATTGAACTTCTTTCTGTTTGAACCAAAATTTGTACTTGTTTTGTGTTTGACAAGGCTGTCAAGTTCGCGTCCTCGCGACGATTCAGTGGCGTTTTATACCGAGCATCAGATTCAGTCTTGTTTGTGTGAGGATTATAATATTCTATTGCTGTTCAAACAGATATTCTATACACTGGAAACGTAGAGTACATTTTACTTTGTCTTTGACTCAAGCAAAAAAGTATAAAGTTTAAACAGGCATTCAAAAAAATATACAACAACCGCGAGCGTCTTCGCTATATCTCTTCGGGGAAATCTTCAAGTTTCAATGGAAATTTTGGTTAATCTGGCACATGCTCAGACAAATTTCCCAGCTGCTGTGTGCATGAGTAATTGAAATATCCCACAGCTTTTGTCTGGTTTTTGGTCTCATTAGGATTGCCCCAAACCCCAGATTTCAGCAGTATTTAACGATTAAACATGCACATGACTTAAAAGCATGCAAGGGTGGGTAGTAGCGAAGTAGTTGTAGTTCGCTACTGTAGCGAACTACAATTTTCAAGTAGCCAGTAGTTTTTGACTACTTTTTTAAAACAGTAGCTGTAGTTATAGCGAACTACATTTTGCCTAAAAGTAGCCAAGTAGTTGACTACTTTTCAAACAGCAAATCGCTGTTCGCTACTTTTTAAAATTGTTAGCAACTTGATAGAATAGAATGTTATCAAGACACAGTTTGCTTAAAATAAATACTCAATTTGCACGAATAAAGTATGCCGTGCAACTGTTCAAACTGTGCAAGTGCATGCCGTCTTATCTACTCGCGTAAGTCGATTTGTTATAGGTTACATTACAGCCTGAACTATAGTAGATGTTCCATATACAGTAAAATTAAAAAATATCGAGTAGCGAAATAGCGAAATAGTTCGCTACACTTTTTAAGCAGTAGCTGTAGTCAGTAGCGAACTACTTTTGTTCAAAAGTAGTAGTTGTAGCTGACTACATATTTTTGAAGTAGCTGTAGTTATAGCAAACTACAAAAAAATTGTAGTCAACCCACCCCTGAAAGCATGTTATTAAAGACATGCAAGGAACGAGCTTCAAAACAATAGTTTGAGAAAAGAAATTTGCCAAAATCTTACCGAGTTATAGCCATGCTATTGGAACCAAAATGACGTTTTTACAGGTCTTGGACACTTGTAACTACCTTCAAAACAACAAGGCAGGGACAATGGAAGGGAACAATATTTTTCTTCGTTTTTGGGCATGCAACTTTCATATAGCTCTAAATTTCGTGTCGTGTACGACCTACGTACGTTGTGCGTTGTACCGGCGGTGGTAAATCACGTGACAGATTCGCAAAATACAAAGAAAATATTGATTTTTCATCGAAAATTTACGTAATTTAGCGCCTTAGAAAAATAGATCGAGGTAGGTAAAGCTTTGCTGTTTTTATTTTACCTTATATTCTGTTATTTTGGTGCCATTGTGATCGCACTGATATTTATCAATTATCAGGCGTTTTAATATTATATATAGTGTGAAAGGCTACGCCTTAACCTTTCACACAATATATAAACCGCTACGCTATCAAAATATGCTCAAATTGAAATGAAGCCATTGTGCTAGCACTGATTAAATCGTGTGCAAAACGTCAAAACTACATCACATTCTGTAAATAACATGAAATATATTTAAAAGTCAAACAAAATTCTCATTATACTATTGTCTATTGAAATTTAATACAACGAAATAGCATTCTACTTCGATAATTTCATTCATGGTTGACATCATAGTTTAATAATTATTTTCAATCTATTATAGTAATTTTCTACGGTTTTTTATACTTTCAATATACTACAATACAAGCAATTTGTTTAAATTTGTAGGAGTATTACAGTATTAATAACATTGTTTACTTCGAATAGTCAATCAGTGATAAAACCTTGACTCTGACCTTGAGCAGTTGACCTTGTTATTATCGTCCCTTGCAACTGCAGATGACAGTTGCTCCTAAGGCATTGCCTATTCGTATGAGAATCTTACGTTTTCTTATTTTGACATAATAGCTATTTTTCAATATATATATATTGATATTAAACTTATTGAATCAATATGTTAAGTTTCAGGCCAGTTGGACCAAAATTTATATCGGATATCGATATCCCTTCAGTGCAACATGTCGTGCGATCGACATTTTGCGAACACAATGGATCAGGTTGACTGAACACATTTCAAAAGAAAGTGGTCGCAAAAAGTTGATCTTGCGATATTTTGCACTGAATGGAAATCGACCTGAACGTTTCTATTAAGGCATGCAACATGTACGCGCTGCGTACCTATTTTATATTATTTAAAGCTGTAAGAATGGATACTGCACGCCGGGCACGTGTGATAGCAAATTCGCCAGAACCTTGCGTGTAGTTTTTTTTCAGAATGCGCGCTCTAAAACTGGGAGACTAAGAACGAACCACAATCGGGTTTCTATTCGCCGTTTGACGGCTTCGTAGAGCAATCGGTTTGTGTCGATAAATAATGGGATAGTTGAATATGGAACAGCGAGCAAAGCCCGCCATTTTGATACCAAATATGTTGTTGTTGGACCATTGATTCAGTTTTTACAGGCTCGGGAATTTCAGTACCTTGATGGAAACTTACTATTATCATAAAAATGAACATTTTGACCCTCGGGCTGTCTAATTTAAAAGCAAACAAGAAGAACAGCGAGACATTCATTCGGAAGGCTTCCGTTTTAGCTTTCGACGATTAGGTCGCTGTAGCATGTAATGCCACAGGTTTTACACTCTACTGGTTGCCGCGATGCCACGTTTTAATGTTGCAACCTATGTGAAAGAACAAAAACGTCTGAGGGAGAAAGTTGTATTGGAGAATCGGCAACTAAAATCGCTTCAAGATGAAATTTCTGCCGCTGCTAAACTCAAGGAAGAGAAAAGGATGGAACTTAACAGGATTAGAGAAAACCACCGAAGGCTTGATAACAAGGTAATTTATGACATCTTTGTGTGAAGACCAAATTAAAAGCTACAAAAGTTCATAGGGTTTTCGTTGTACGTTCACAGGAATACCATATGAACCATGGGAATTTTCATAGCATTTCACAGTACTATGAAAAAAATACTATGATCATTGTCCTGTTTCATAGTTAGACCTCATTTCACAGGATATTGATCTAGTATAATGCTCAATACTCCACTAGCTTGTCTAAATGACAAACACAGACCAAATATATTGAGTAGGAGGGGGTATTAAGGACTTGGCAAACATCTCTCCTGGACAGCCGATGTTGCATCCTCAGCTGTTCGTCACCCGAAATGCATCATGTAACTAGCTAGTGTATAAATGAGATGCGCCCTAATGCACCCTACTTCCTGATTTTGCTCTGCCTAGCAAAAGACGATTTTGCTTGGCAAGGGTAAAACGTTACAAGGTGAATGTGAATATGTGAAATAGTTTGTTGTCCCTTTTCGAAATAGGTACGAAATTTGGTGAAAGCTATTGAAGATTTAAACGATATTCAAAACGAGCTGGTTCAACCAGACAGTACAGACCAGTCAGGTAGTGCAGCTAACCAGAATAATCCAACAAGTGCATCAAGAGGAAAATTTGCACGAGCTCATCATTAGCCAGGCAGCGTAGAAAAAGTACATTCGAGGCAGCCAGGCAAATTCATGGGGGACAGGATAAAATATCTGTAGCTGCGGAAGTAGGAATTATAGATACTGCTTTGGTGAAATGTTCAAAAGACATTTTAGTAATTGCAATGTCCTCCAGTAAGAAGTTTAATAAATCAGTATTGCCTATCATATATAAAAAATCACTAAAGACCTATGAGGCCTCTGAAGATAATTTAATTAGAAGTGTTGCTGTATATTATAGTGGGGGTGTAACTGGGAAAAAGAAGTATTGTAAGATCTATAAGTATAGTTGTTATAGGCTAAACAAGGATAAAACTAAAAATGAACGCCTAGCAATAGATAGCTGCCCTTTACCTCGCTTAGTGCCATATAACCGCATAATGCCCTACATTAAGTCCATATCTTTGGGTACAATCAATAGTGTTACTGACACACTGTGCTATGGTTTAGATGAATGTGATAAAGTAACTGGGTGCTATCGTAACCTGAAGGAAATGTTAATTAAACTTGCCGAGTTTTATCTCTCAGGTTGTACTGGGCATTCCATCACATGGTTTGAGGAACCATACACATTTTCTGTAGGAGGGGATGGAGCACCATTCGGCAAAGATGATACGCCATGTGCTTGGTTAATCAGTCTGTTAAATATTGGTAGAGGTGTGTTAAGTAGTAACGAGAACTACCTGCTTTTCGGGGCAAATTGTAGAGAGAGCTGTATTGTTGTCCAGAGATTTATTAAAATGCTCTTGACTGATATTCGGGATATTGAAAAAAGTGTAATGACATGTTCTCACAATGGCCAACAAGTGAATGTTAAATTTTCTTTCACTGAACTCCCCAATGATATGAAAATGTTAGCGTTTCTCAGCGGGGAGTTGAGCAATAGTGCCAAATATTTCTCATCTTTTGCCAACTCATCTCAAGTGATGATGCAAAAAACACCCAAGCTACCTTTGGGAGAGGCATTGAAAACACTTGGAAACCTTGGATGTATAGTGACAGGTTGAAGGTTGTGAATGAAGTCGAAAAGCTGAAGGCAAAGCTGTCGAAACAGCCTTTGTCAGATGCCACTAAGAAATCAAAGGTGACATCTTTCATTGCTCAAAAAAAGAGCAGACAAGAATTTGAACCTCCCTTAGGTAATATTATTGACAAGGCTCATGTCGAGCCATTGCATTTAAAGAATAATGCATGTGCTCTTGCACATAGGTACCTTTTGCTAGAAGTTTTTGAGATTTCCAATTTACCTGATTCCATTAAACTGTTTTCACAAGTCCCAAGTAACTCTCCTATAGCAAGATATAAATGTGAGATGGAGACCAAATGTGGCCTTTCACGTCTTGCAAAGAGAATTGTAAGATGGTTTAACAAGATGAAAGCGGCTAGTAAAGCTTTAGATTATCGATTCACAGGCAAGGATTCGAGGGGATTTTTACATAATTTTATGTACTTAATTGCTGCAGTGGAACCTTTTCAAAAACATGGTTCTAGGCAAGAATTTACTTTACATGTTTTGTCTTATCTTTGCCTGATGTTGCATAAATGTGTTACTCTCTTTGACCTTGTTGATCTTCAACATGCTTGTAAAGTTTACTTTCACGTTCAACTGTTTGTTTTTTGCTCATCATCCCACTGCTTGGACTTTAGGTCTTGTTGTCCCAGTTCATGCAAAGGAGATGAAAGTCAGGTATGGTATGGGGCTCGCCTTGAACTCCATGGAAGGTCGTGAAGCCAAACACATTTCAATTGCAAGATATTGTACCAACACCAACTACCAGTCAAGGTGGGAACAGGTATTCATGCATGAATATGTGTCGCTTATTTGGCTTCGTGAAAGGGGCTATAATAATACAAAGCCGGTCACTTCCTCTACATTAAGTTATGTCCCGAAACGTGTCGTCAAAAATGGTTCAAGTTTTTGTAATTGCGGGTTGAAAAAGGAGGCCGAATCTTCCAAATGCAAATTTTGCATTCATTCTTTGAGAAACCAAATTGTTAAGAGGGTTGAAAAGGCTTGCCGTTAAGTTACATGTTCTATGTTAGATGCAAGAAACACTCTATATTTAGTTTTAAATGCAATGCCAAAAAATAAGATCTATTTTTACATATCTTATTTTCTTGTTTGAAATACCAAAGAACTTCAAAGCTGGCTTACCTTATCTCTTGTCTTCTCAAAAATGTATTATTAATATTGATAACTAATATAATATATATTTACCCATTAAGCTGCAACACACCATTTCTACTGGTATCAGGTAGAGTACTATTTAGCACACTGGTATCTAGAAACAGGGGTGGATTACTGGATTTATAGGGGAGGGGGTGCACACCCCTGTTGGCCTTGGTCAACAGGGGTGCAAAAATATCAAATTCAGAAATATGGCACAATTTCCAAGGTTTTTCCTTTTTTGAAATCAAACTGAAGCTCATAATTCAATATAAATTGCAGGAAATGACATTTCTAGGGTTTTAATTTTCAAAGTTTTCCGGGGGCATACTCCTGGACCCCCTAAGGAGCTTGCGCCTTCAGCGCTCAGGTTGTTAGCCAATTCATTTGAATGATCTCCCACCACCCTCTAGAGGATTATAAAGAAACACTCGGCTGCTCACCCAGCACACCCCCCTACAAACACCTTGCTGGATCCACCCTTGTCTGGAAAATCGGTATCCAGCACATCCATACACTGTATATATTATTAAGTGACAAATTATTTAAGACAGAAAAACAATATTTTAAGGTAATTCAAATTGTAAACCTTCAAGTTGTATTGTCTATTTTTATTATTATAATGGACTCATGACAACAATATACAGGAGATTGTGCTTAGAATGGTAAATCAGTGCAAAATCCTTCATTTCAGAGACCAACAGTTTTGTCAAGTGATCCTTGCGATTTCCACTCAATCTCCGTTCCAGGTAACCTGATACCTCTGTCATACTCAGGGCACTGAGGAATTCCTTAACTGCCAAAATGGACTGAAAAGATACAACTGTCATTTTCTTGCTTTCAACGACATAGCAATTTGGATAGCAGAATAATGGCCTTCCGCAACTTTTGATTGCTCGAACTAAACACCTAAACATTTCCTCTGGTATATCACACCTTATTTGAGAAAAGAAAAGGCCGCCTTATGTTTCGTCTTCCAGCCAACGCCGGTGGATGGCTTTTAGCCATAAATACGACTCTCCTCTAAAAACCTTCCCAGCATTTATGTTCAATGAAAACAGCATGCGAGGGATGCCAGGCTCGCTTATTTTAGGTAGTGTTAGGACGTTACTGCTTTCGTCGTCGTTTTCACTTATCTGCTCTTGATTTGTGTCAACATTGCCTTCTAAAAATTTGTTCAAGACTTCTTCCACGCTTAACTTCGCCGCCATTTTGAAATTGTTTCTATGGTCACCAGGTGTCGCACATAGATAAAAGGGAACATAATTGGGGGAAATACCGCTGCTCACAAGCACTGACAATTTGGCAATTTTCTCGCCACTTGTGCACGGCGTGCTGATTCCAAATGACTAAACCCATGTAATAATTATCCCATGCAACTGTTAGGAAGGGTAAAATTTTTAATGGAGGAGGAAAATTCTAAAGGAAAGGTGGAGTTTCTAAAGGGGCGGTGAACTTCCTAAGAATTTTGCCCCCCCCCCCCTGGGGGCAAAATTGTAGAGGGCAAAATTCCTAGGACACCGGTACTACAGTATATTATTATTGTCACTGCTTTCTTGTGGTTTCTCTCCTTAATGCAGGGTAAGTGTAAGTTTTTCACACTTGTTTGGGTCGTTCTGGGCTTGTTGTTCTTCCCATGTTGATTTCAATGGTCCTTGTTCGCCATGATTATTTTGTTGCACATAGTATATCTCTGATAGAATACTTTAATCCAAGTAGTAATCCTTTCTTCGGTTGTCATAAATGAAACACAGTTTGACGAGGGTCTATAAATTGAATAATCTATATTTTCAAATGGAACGCTGCATGCTTTTGAGTTCTTAAATTCGTCAAATTGTAATCGTATGGTCGAAGCATTGAAATGGGTCGAATGCATGTTTACAGTTTTCTTCAATTTTTTCTTTTTAATTTGCGAGTTACGCCAAGATTTTTAGATATAACTGTGCCTTGTATATTCAGCTTGGAAATTTATTGAGTAAGTTGGGCACATTACAGACCAAAGGGTTAAAGACTGAATTTGGGGCAGAAATACTCGCACATTTAAACCACAAAATGAGTTCAATATGTCTCGTGCTGTCTGGAAGCAAAACACTTTGTCTTAATTTGTTGTTTGGAGGAACAAGCCCACTTGATAGGGTTCCTCGATACTTATCATCTTTGCCTTTAATTTTAAAAAATTTTGGCTTTTAATTAATAATAGCTTTCCCTCTCAGTATTTGTGATACACACTGAATACTTTTCTTACATCTTGAGCTGTGGGGCATCAGTTGTTATTTTGGTATCCTGATCAATCAACAACTCTGCGTAATTGCTTTGTCCATGCAACTTTTTCAATTTGAACAAATCGATGGCAAAGTTTTTTTTAACATCAAACCAAGAAAACAATTCTTCCTGGACACAGACAGCTCTCAGCAACGAATCAGGACTCTTGTTAGACAGATTTTGTGAGAACATATTAGAGCCAGTTCTAGTGGACCTTAAAAGGACTTTTATTCAGTAATGCACACATTAATTTCTTGCTTATTTTTTGTGGGAAGTTGGGCACCGGTTCCAATTTCAATTTTTGTGGTCGTTTCCATTGACTTAGAAGCACTGAGTATTTTGATAACATACAAAACAAGTGTAACTCCAACAATAACATTGATAAATATAAAAATGTTATCGATCTTTGAAGTTACACTTGTTTTAATAATAATAATAAACGTTATTTATATAGCGCACAAATCCAAAGCTGTTCAAGGTGCTTTACATGATTTAAAATAAAACTACTATATACAGACAAAATAAGATACCTAAAGTTATCTACATGAATAAAGATTTGCTACTAACAAATTTTGAAAAGAGAGAAACTTTAACTGACTTCTTAAAAGCGTAAACACTAGATGACTTGCAAATATCTAATGGTAAAATATTCCAAAGTCTAGGTGCACAAACTGAAAAAGCTTTATCACCATATGTCTTCGTAATAGACCTCGGTTGGTTGACTTAAGAGTTCATTCGATACAAATCGTATGAAATCGTGGGTACTATAACAAACATACTTGCAGGGAGGAGAGTCCGGGATTGGACGCACCAAGGGTGGCTGGAAGTTTCCCGAACTCGCCGAACCTGCAAGTATGTTTGGTTTTTATCACATGCCATTTCGGTAAAAAGTACCGAATTGACACATTTTAGTATATGATTTCTTGTTTGGATAATGAACATTTTAGCTGCCAACATACTATGCAAACAAACAAACTTAGGCTTAAATTGGAGTTAAAAAAATTCTCTACAACATTCCCTTATTCTTGAAAAGAGATAATGAATACATTCTGCAAAAACATTGGCAAGATTTATACAAACCTGCCCGTGCCGAAAAATGTCGGCGGCCATCTTTATTCTCTTCCACTTTGAATACATAATATTCCATTTTCATCAAACAAAATAAGTAATATATAACAATTTATATTTTAATTATTAAATTCATTTCAATATTAAAAACATGCAATTACAGTTTTATAATCTGCAACAATTATAATAAATATTTTATTAAATTTATAAGTTCTTTGAATAAAGTTGTTAGTCACAAAAAGGCATGCACACAAATACTTAAATTCAAATTGTTGTAACAACAAGATATACAATAACAACATCAAGTTTAAAAATGTCATCAATTCAACAAGTGTTCAACAATTTTAAAGAATATTTTTTAGCTTTTGCAAATTTTATTGTAATGCCACCCTCAATTTTACAATTAGAAAAGGTTGGGATCGATGGGAAGGTTATTTCATCACTTGTCTGCTCAAGAACTGGTGGTTGTTGTTTCTGGGTGTGATTTGGGATGACATTTGTACCAAATCTGAATTTTCTGAGGTTGTTTGATTCTCAAATTGGCTTACGGCAACCAAAAGATATGGTCGTCCATGTCATCTTCAAAGAATATTGGATCAGAAGACACCAAGGCTTGTTGAGGGGCTACAATAGTTGCAGAACTTCGGTTAGGTCGACGTTTTGGCTGTATTGTGTTTTCTTGACAGGGGTTTTGTTGCTGGGACAGTGGCATACGACATTCAGATCTGGAAATTACATCGATCTCTTGCAATGAGGGGTTTGGAGTGTGTGAGGAAGGTTGGTAATTGGTTTCTCGAGGATGTTGTTGGTAAACACTGGAAATTTCATCTTGTTTGGTTAGACAGCTTGAATCACCGGTGAGGGCATAACCAAGTGTGCATCCCATTCAGAGTTTTTCATCTGAAGCCACTTTTTGGTAGACAGCCAAACTTGCGCTACTTCGATGGCCAGTTATGGACATTATTTGCTTGTCGTTGTAGTTTTTACGCTTCAATGTTGTTATCCCAGAAGCTCTTAGGCTATGGTTGGTGTAACCTTTTTGTGCGAATCCACAACTTGTGGCCAATTTTGACATGAAGCTATCAAGCAAATTGTGCCCAACATTGCCGGGACCATACCAAACCTTTTGACCATCAGTAGGAAATAAGTTGAACTTAGGGGTTTGCCCGAGTTTTTCAGAAGTAGGATGAAGGGCTTCTGTATACATAATGAAGCTTCGTACAGGGCAATATTTCTTATCAACCATGGAGGGCATGTAACCAGTGACAATATCATTTTTGTTCGCTTTATGATTCTTTGTTGCTTCGTCTTCAGCTCTTATCACATACTTCATCGCAGTTTTTTCATCAAGTTTGACTGCAAAGGTTGATTTCGTCATTTTATGCATATTTTCTGGTCCACAACGGGCAAAATAGCACCTGATGTCAAACTGGACTTTCTTTTGGAGGTGTCTTGGTCCAATGTCTGGGATCTAAGTATCAACTATGGTATCTATCAAACAAGTCTGAAAACAACAAAATATGGTATTAAATTAATTTAGTGTGATGGACACTGACAGGTTACAAATAATTTATTTTTACCTGCTGTGTTAATGGCTTCATGGTTCTTCGTGAAACCTTTTCCTTCTCGCTTCAGCTCTTTGGTCGTGTCTTCGTATGCTTTAATACTCGAGGTGAAAAGCTGTACATTCTCTCTTTGTAATGTCAAATTTATGTCCGAAACTTTTCAGCGCTCTGTTTAGACTGTAGCGAATTGTTTGAAGGCTTCCTACTTTGTATTTGTGTCCATCTTTAGTCCTCGCAGCGAACCAGAATGTTGATTTTTTCTTCGCTGAATTCGTAGAAGTTGTCTTCCTTTTTAAGGCTCTCTTGTCTTATTTTCAAATCTTCGTAAGAAATTTGTTGAAATCGCGCCATATTAAAATGGCCGCCAGCAAAACATCGATCTCGAACCCATCTCCTAAACATATGTCAGCAGGTGGGTTCGAGATTGAACGCACCTCCTCATAGCCAATAGGAAAGCTGCTAATATGCTAGGTATGAGATAATTCCTCGGGTAGAAGAATTTGCATCACAGATTACGTCATCAGTTAGTTATAGTGATTAGTGTTGAAGTTAAGGTAAGGGTTAGATTAAGGATCAGGCTTACAGATAGGGATTGGGTTATATCTGACGCCACAAACAACACAACTAGCCGATCATGTGATCAGTTCTCCTCTACCCGAGGAACTACCCAAAAAAGTACTCTCTGATCGTGTGCGTTATCACGTATGATGGTTGAGTAGTATTCTTCTCTCGCCTTATGTAGCATTTCGTTAACAACATCACACTGAGCCAGATAGTTTGCTCTATTGCAATCGAGTCGATTTGAGCGCCACTTACGTTCAAGCCTTCGTCGTTTCTTTTTCGCATCTGCAATCTCATTATACCATAATGCATTTGGATGAACAATGATTGATCGAGTTTTTACTGGTGCAAGTTCATCCAGAATACCACACAGAACGGTGTCATAGTTATTTACCAGTGCCGAAAGACTTGTGTTGTCATCCATGAAGTAATTCTGAAATTAGACAATTCACAGTCAAAGTTCTTAAGTCGCCTACTCACAACGGTTTTCCGTTGATTGGATTGCTTCTCAAGATTGAGATTGAACCATGTTGGCTGATGGTCAGAGACAGGCTGCTCCAGAACACAAATATTGCTCACTTCCAAAGCCACACAATCGTCTCTTGTAATCACAAGATCCAAAATGTGACCCCTTCTGTGTGTTTCAAACCAAACGAGTCCAAGAGACTAATAAAACGAACAGCTTGAGTATTCTCAATATCATCTATGTGGAGATTAAAGTCTCCCATGATTAACAATTCTTCAGAGCATATAAGTTCTTCCAATAAAGTTGAAAAATCATCCAAGAAAATTTCGGGTGATAGTCCAACAGCCGGTGGGCGATATATAACAATTACTCTAACATTTGTAACATTTATGAAACTAGCATCCAAATATTCAAATGACCGGAAAGAATGTTTGCAAGTTCTCAACCTTGCCCTGACACTTTGTCTATACAAGAGCCCTACACCACCACCTGTCCCATTGCTTCTTGGTACATGAATGAATTTGTAACCTGTTGAGCAAAGGTCACCAATAATTGAATCATTGCCTTCCTGATGTAGCCAAGTTTCAGTAATGCCCAAAAGATCAATTCCTTTGTCTATAACAAGGTCTTTAATTAGTAGAGTCTTATTGCAAACAGATCTTGCATTGATTACACCTGATATAAAGTTGAGTTTCTTATTTGGTACAATGTGAGAAGTTCGATTTGCATTTGGCTGGAGCTTAATTAAGTTAGAGTAATTAACACTGTTGGGCTTTGAATACAAATGAGCAGAACATCTACAGTTGGAAGTAACAGGTTGAATATACGATGTCGATGTCGTCGATGGCTTATAAAGCTTCTTTCCCCCCTTGAACAATGTCTTCTCCTTATACCAAGACATTTCAATCGGGATAACAACCAACGATCAATACAAACACACTGGTTGGCATTCTTAAAGCCAAATAAAACTGTTCTTGAATACTTAATTTTCACTGGGAAATCCAGAGCGTCAAAGCATGTCGAGCAGGACTCTAAAGCTTGAGAATTAACATGTTTCTTTCCCAAAATTTCGAATCGAGGACCCAGGTTTCTCTCAACATCGGTAAAGACTGTAATATCAAAGTGGAATGGTTTATATCCGGTAACGCAAAACACATATAACCATGTTTCGTTTCCTTCATAAGCGGCTTTCTCTGTTTAAATACCGATGCATATTGCACAACAGTTCATATGACTCGAAACTTGAAAGGGAAAACAGGAATTTGCTTTCTTTCCAACCAAGACAAGACAAAGTCAGTTAGATATGAAGACATCCCAAAACACAGGATAACAGAAGTACACTTTATTTTAAAACAGTATCTTTCTGCCATTAAAAATCTCAAAAAGACTAAAACACACAGCAAGCGAAAAATTGCTGCCGCATTTACACACAGCATTTTTTTGTATTTGAGACCATCCTATAATGCCTTTGACACTGATTGTGCCCTTGAAAATTTGAATATGCAAACTAAAATGGTGATCAAGCAGCATGAGTTCACAATTCACAAAAGCACAGACAGAATATTGCTCATTTGCATAGGTTACCTAGCAACAAACATGGTGAGTTTTGTGTGTACAGCATGTTCCACACATTTTGTGGTCTAGTCGTACCCTCCGAAATCAGCATGACCAAGTAATATATTTTATAGTAGAAATACTGGCAATCTGATTTAATATTGGCAACTGTGCAATTATCTGTTCAAGATAATTCATGCTTGGATACTGAATACTCCATTCAGGTGTTAACTGATCAAGACAAGTGATTTAACATTCTATTAATTTACATTATAATGGAAGCATTATGGCTTCCACAGAAGAAGATATTATAAGTGATTTGCTGAAGAGACCTTTCTCTGCTTATCAATCAGGCAAGCAAAATATAATTATAATGGAAGGCCATTGCCAAATTTACAATCGACTGCTGGAGATAGAAGCTTTCAGGAGAGTTGGTACACAAAGAAAGGTTGGCTTTGTGGTAGTTTAACCAAGAAGGCAATGTTTTGCTGGTCATGTCTTTTATTTTCTCCTGGAACTTTGTCGTCATGGAAAAAAGACTGGCTTCAGAAATATGAAGGGCTTTTTGTCAGATTGCAAAAAGCATGAGAAGGCAAAATCACACATGGCTGCTTACAAGACCTGGAAGACCTATGGTTCTGGACCTCATGTGGACTCTCTCATCTCACAACCCAGACATGATGAGATTCTGCGTCATAATGAGGAGCTAAGGAAAAATAGAGAAATGTTAAATCTAACACAAGCTGTTCTATATTGATCCAGGCAAGAGCTTGCATTTAGAGGTCATGATGAATCAAACGACAGCTTGAACGCCGGTAATCATAACATCAATTTATATATCATATTATTGTGTAGAATCTCAAAGATTTTCTCAATATTCGTGTCTGAAATGTTTATATATTTGAAAAACAACACTGTCTCGCTTCTTCATACATACTGTACCTCTGTATAATGAGTATACTGTGAAAATAATATCAGCACTCAGAAAAAATCAGTTGTTCCGGGGTAAAGATCCTTTACACAACATGAGAAGCGAATGTTCTAAAATTTACAAAAGAATTACAATAATGAAAGCAATTGCTCTAAATTTTTGTGAACTTGGTAAAAGGATAACAGAATATGTAAATAAGTTAACTGAAATTGCCTAAATAACCTTCAAAGTACTGACTAAGCACAATAAAT